AAAAAAAAAAAAAAAAAAAAAAGAAAGCACCAGAAAGATATGTCCTCCTACCTAGCTCGAATAACAAGTGGCTGGTTTCGTGTTGATTTAGCCCTAAAAGCGGAACCTGGAAAGTGTTCACCAGAGCTGATTTTCAAGAAGCATTTGTCCATTGGTTTCAATGAGGAACCTGACATTAATCTGAATATTAGATTTCCTGGGAAATCACTAGAAAAGGTTGTTGGATATGTTAAGCTTCAATAAGTAACCATTCATAATTACAGTAGCAAGGATCACACAACATGCTTTATTCCCATGAATTTAGCCCAAAAATGTTTTCATTGTGTTATTTGCCACCCAAACAGATATAAAACTCTCTAAACCATGGAAAGATAAAAAAATAATAATAAAAAATAATAAAAAAACCCAAATACCTTGCCCAAGACTGCATCTCCAGACATTAGGATTACGTGGCTCCAAAATTATATTAACATGTACACTAATTTAAACACATATCCACAAAAGGCATAAAACAAAGAGCAAATATATTTTATCCTTGAAAGATGATACTTGCATCGCCTTGGTCTTTGAAGATTTTCATCTAAGCAAATTATTCATGAAATGGTTAGCTTGCTAACAAGTTAACTCTACCAATGTTGAAAATTTTCTAGATGCTAACAATTTCATATATTTGGGGATCAATTTGTACAGATAGAAACTTTTGGATACCAGAAAAACACAGTAACACGAGTAACATCCCTTGGGGCACCATTTGCATATTTTTCTCTAAAACAAAACAATGAAAAAGAAGGCATCATGTATATCTATAAAATATCAACATCCTCCTCATAAATGAAACCAGGATAAATATACGCTGGGTATGCTAAAGTTGTTTGGAGCGGAAAATGAGTCTAATCGAGCCAAATGAGTCTAATCGAGCTTAACGCAAGTGGATTCTCTTAACGCAATTCGGCCAAATGAGTCTAATTGAGCTTCCCCATTATCTAGGAACCCAACACCAAAGCCACAAACGATTAAAACCATACCAAAAGTACTTCTTTTATAGTTTTTTTCGACTTTCGTTTAATAAAAAAAATGATTTTCGGAATATCCGAGAATTACAAATACACAAGCAGAAATAAATAAAAGCTGTAAACTTGATATCCGTAACAACATCACAAAGGCATATATAAATACAATCTAAGGAGGAAGGAACAACAATGGATAGTGTAAACGGAGAGAAGAAAAAAGGGAAAAGATTTTCACTTTAGAGTGGTGCCCTTTTGGGCATGGCGATGGTGATGGAAGTAATAACCTGAGAGAAAGAGGGTCTGAGGATTCTTTGGCGTAGCGATGAAGCTCGATAGCGAAGCCATTTCTACGGAGCGAAACTGAAAGTGAAACTGTGAATTTTTCTTTCTTCCTCTGTTATTGTTATTTTGCTTTGCTTCCTCGTAGAAAACGAAACCCAAGAAAAACAGATCCGACTTTTCGTTTTAAGCTTCGATAATGTCGCTAGATCACGTTTTAGTGTTTTCGTTTCGTTATTAAAATTAAAGACCGTTACCATGAGTTGAAATTGGTCTCAATTCTTTGGGCTTGGCCCATTAATTTACTCGATGCAAATCCTCCTTTTCTTTTTTGTTTGTCCTGAATATAATTAAATATAATTATATTTGCATGTTTAAATTCAGTATGTTGTATGTTAAATGTGGATGAGTGGAAGCAATCACATGCTTCTATATTAATTTTGGCGTGACTCTTATTTGAATATAAATATTGAAATTATGATTCATTTTAAGAAAATCTAATTCTCATCCCGTTGATGAATTGACAGATAAATCATCAATTCTTTCCATAAAGTATTCTCTCTTAGACAATTCTTAAACTAACAAAGTTATACAAATAGTTTTTAAAATATTGAATATTTATCAATTTAGTTCTTAAACTAATAAAATTATATAACAATTCCTAAATTATATACATATATATATTGATTTTTGCATTTTTAATTTTATTTCAAATGATATTTTTATAATATTCATCTTTTTAGTGTAAGTCCTGATAATTATTGAATTAGTTGTGTTCATTACTGTTAATTTAATGACATTCCTTTTATACAAATTAGTATTTTAGTTTGTGTAATTCATATGTTAAATGTTATAATAAGTTATATATATAAATAAATATTATATTTGAATATACAGGTTATATTTAAAATTTATATAAATATGTATTTTTATGAATATAAATTATATTTTAAATTTATGATAAATAATTTATATTATGGTATAAAATTATTTTTTAATTATTGATAATTTATTTTAAAATTATTAAATTATAATTTATATATAAATATGATAAAATTATTATTTAGATAAGATGTTAAAAATATTTAAAAAATTTATTGTCAAATTTATTTTAAAAATATTAAAAATTAATTTATAAATAAATGTGATAAATAAAAATTAAATTATATGAAAAATTAAAAATTATGTAAATATGTTCGTGTTAAAGTCACATAAGATAAAAATTCAAATTTAATATATAGTGATTGATTTTAATTTAGTCTCTATAATATATCCTCTTTTTTTAATATACTTAATTTAATTCTTGGTATTTTAATCATCTCAGATCTCAGAAATTAATGGTGACCAAATAACGGCCGGACTCACCTATAAATTTGAATATTACAAATATTATTTTTAAAAATTTAAATTTAAATAAAATATTACATAGAATAAAAACACCTTTAAAATAAAATATTCTATAGAATATTTTAAATGTATAGATTGATTTGACGAATCTCAAGTTTTAAGTAATATGTCTGAGTTAGTTCTGACCACGTTTTTTCTTAACCTTGTCCCGTATTAATTATTAGATGATGGTCTCATTTGGAATACTATATAGAGTGCAAAATACTCCCCATTTATATAAAGAAATAAGATGCATGGTTAATCATCCATTGCTTGTGAGGGTGCTGATCTCATTTCATTTCATTTGGTGAAGTTTCAAGTTTGTATCTTAACGTACATTTTCCACGTGGGACTGGGAGATCCATGCTAGCTTAATCAACACCAACCCAATCATGGTTGTTGTTGTTGATTTATATTAATTAAACATGAAATTCAAATTTTAAATCTGAGTTCTAATTAAGTTCAAGCAAAGATCGAGCAACTTATTACTACGAAATGGTTTGTTCCCATGAACGAAATTGATTTATTATTTATGGTGATCATTATCCATGCACCAACCCCAAGACAGCCAAATCATACACTATTCCCTTACTAATCATGCTCGCTAAGAACATAGTTATTTTGGGTTCTTATATCTCAATTTTTGTTTCTCTTCTATGGGAATGGTGAAGTAGGTTGGATTTGACGAGCTTATGCTCTAAACCCCTTAAAATAAATAGGACGGGATAGAAGGTCTTTTCCGTGAACTCCCTAATTTAGTATGTTAGGCCACTTTTTTATATAATATATATGTAATGCATTTTTAAATTTGAATATTACATGTATCAATGTATAACTAATCATTCCTAAAATAAATATTTGTTATATGACTAAAGTTGGTCTAGTATTAGTATAAAAAAAATGTAATATATTATAATTTTAAGTTTTGAAATATAGTTAAATTAATTTTTCTAAAAAATTTAGATTAGAAAGTTTTCTTTTAAGTTGATTATAATATATTATTAATATACTTTAAATTATTTAACTAAATTTCTCAAATTTGGTTGCTTTTAAAATTAATTAAAAAAATTTAAATCTTCTTTTTCATTTTTGGTAGGCTAGTCTACTAACCCATCCTTAAACAGGGTGTGTCTGTCCACTTTGCCACCTTAGTTAGTCTTCTAGGTTTAAGAAGGATTTTAAGAACATTGTTACTTTCTACTCCAACATTATAAAATCTAATCTAGTTCTTTTTTTGGGGATCCATTTTATTTTTTTGATTTAATTACACTTTTTTTTTATCACTCATGTTTCATGATTTTGCTAATGTTACCACCTAACTTTTGAATTTGCATATTTTATAACCAAAATTTCAAATTTTCATATATTTTGTTACATGTTAATTTGTGATGTATTAATCGCTAACATATTATACTCATTTTTTATGTAACACATTATGTCACTTTATTATCTTTATGTTATATCATCAATTCAGGTTAAGAGTAAATGTGTCTCATGAGTGTCAACTAACAACATTAATTAGAGATTTAAATAAGTTTTAATTCTTCAAATTTATAATAAATTTATTTAGGTCCCTAAAATTTAAAATAAGTTATTTTAACCCCTATAATTTGAAAAAAAAGTTTGTTTGAATCATTATGGTCAAATTTCATTAGTGAACATGTGAAATATTATCGCAAAAAATCACTTTTAGGTATTTTTGTTCATATTAAATCCTAGAAATATCACATTAAACTAACTGTATGATTGTCTAAATCTGTCACTATTAAATATGTTACTTGTGATATGAGAAATTAAAAAATATTTTTTAAAATTATATAGACTAAAAATATTTATTTTTAATTTAAGGGACAAAAATAAATATAAAGAAAGGAAACATATTTAAGAGTTGAGTAATTAATTGGTAACAAAATATAAGAAATTTAGAAATTTCTTTGATAAGTTATGCAAATTCAAAGTTGAATGACATGATTTGTTAAATTAAAAAATGTATAAGAATCACAGTTGAAGATGGTCTAACATATACATCTATACCGCATAACTGCGTAAGTCTATAGATCATATTCCCATGTTCATGAGCAGTGGAAATAACTGTGCAATCAAACTGGGGAAATAACTCGTTTCTAACATTCTATGGTTCTAGTACCTGACTTATAGGTGAGATGGTGCCCCATTTTTGTCCACTACGTACTTGTCTTTTTCTTCCTCACAGGTTTGAAAAGGAAATGTGGAACACATGTGTGAAACGACAAATGTCAAATAAATCAGATATGTTCAATGCCCTAGACCCTACTTCTCTTCTACGTGTCAAATCGAAACCGAGTTTGTACACTTCTTTGATTTATTTTCTCTCTCAAAATATATTTTTTTTCTATGAAATGAAAATTATTATTCCATATGAACAAGCTTGGATGATCATGAAACATACATCCAAATTGAAGAAACGACATTTGGTTGTATATAACAGTGATTGATCAGTAATTTGAGGTCCACCCATTGGGGAGACTTTGGTCCAAATGTGAAATATGAAAGGAGGAAAAATGATTGGGCGTTTGGGTTAGCAAAGAAGATTCAACGCGTATGTTTCCCAGTCTCTCAGCAAAAATTATCTGACTTTGTTCTTTTCGATCATTATTCTCAAGGCTGTACCTCAAAAATAGATGACACGGTTTTAATTAGGCTCATCCAATCCTATACAATTAAAGAATCCTAAGTTGAAATAAATAAATAACTTTTTTTTTCATGCATAACCGATTACTTCGGATCAATTTTCGGTTAATAATCTTTAAAATGGAACCGATCCAAATTGAATCGATATTCTCTAATGGACATGCATTATTATTCATTTCATGTATATAACTCGTATATGTTTTATTATACTTTTTAGTCTTTCGTTGATATTTTTATCATGCTTCTTTTTTCATGTATCCGACTAACGTAACATAATTATATATAAAATTTTAATAGTTGACTTTTGGTCTCGGATCTTAATGTATGATTATTTAGCAAAAATTAACATAAAGTTATTTTTTAAAACAACATAATATTTTTTATCTAAGAAATTAGAGTTTAAATATAATTGTAAACTATCGAATTAACTGTATAATCTTTATATTGAATGAGAAATTAAGAGATTTTACATAGGAAAAGTAAATGATTCAATTTCCAACTGATCCATCATAAATTTAAGCTTTATATAATTTACTACTTTATTTTATTTTGGTTAAATTTGATAATTCTTGTCAAACAAATTTAGTTGTTTTACCAAATCATTTACTTAGTACCGAAATTAGATTAAACAGTTATAACTCAAGTACTCAAGTTCTTGTAGATTCGATAAATTAGGCTTCTATCTAATTTATTACCTACAACAATTTATATATTTTCCAAATGTGTATCAAGTAAATGGTGTCGTTGTCAGAGACTTGCATCCTATAATTGTTTAATTATAATATGGTATTAAATTAGACTTTTTTATTTTGTTTTATTTTTTTAAAAATTTATTCAAACAACCTTTTTTTTATCTTTGTAAGATCTCACTTATTTTTTTCTAGCCTGAATCATGTGTTATGCAAGGTGAAACTTCAATCGTAAAGTTGTACTATGATTCAAAAATTGAAAGGACTTGCTAAAGAAATGCTCTACAAAAGAGACGACTTCTAACGAGCCAAAACACTCCAAGATTTGAGCTAATGGCAGATGAAGGAGCAAATACTAATCTTAATGTTGCTCCTCCTCCTCCCCTTCCTAACCTTAATTCATAATCAAAAAGGAGAATAATGGTCAACCACATGACACATTGTGGCCCTATGGAGTTCAATAGCATTGCA